TGTATTGTCATCACCATTAAGGTATAATAATAATAATAATAATAATAATAATAGTAATAATAATAATAATAATAAGGTATAATAATTGTATTGTCATCACCATTAAGGTATAATAATAATAATAATAATTATTATTATTATTATTATTTATTTATTTGTATTGTCATCACCATTAAGGTATAATAATAATAATTATTATTATTATTATTATTTATTTGTATCCCACCAGCATCTCTTGGAGGGATTTGGGGCGGCTTACGGGACACTCAAGGTGTGACATGCAAAATACAACAAGTGCAAAACAAAACATAAACAGTCAACAGTCAACAAAAACATCCGAATCACGTCTAGCTAGAAAGAGGAGGAAGAGGACAAGGGCCAAAGCCTAGGTTTTGCCACTCTCCTTCCATCGTCCACTCCAAGCTGATGCTGCTAAAACAAGGTCTAGCTGGCCAAAGGACGAGGAGGACGAGGAGGAGGGTCTTGTGGGCTGCCCTCCCTCCCTCCCACACCCCTGTCCAAACCATCAAGGGGTCCCAACCTGGGTTCTTCTCTTCGGACATGACGGTGTGGCAGAGGGAGAGCAGGCGGAAGAACTCGTGGACCTGGGGGTCGCCCAGCTTGACCGCCTCCAAAAGGCCCGAGTCCCAAAAGGTGAAGGTGGGGTCCGCCAGCGGGTTGAAGGAGAAGTCCACCGGTTCCGCCTTCTGGAAAAAAGGGATGACCACACAACGTTGTGACGGCGTATCTCGCGGGCATGGCGGCCTTCTCCCCCAAAAGCCACGTTTCCAAGCTCTGATCATTTGCCCGAAAGGGGCCACCGAGGCATCCCAGGGTTCCCTCCACTTCCTACCTCTCCGAGCTCTGCTTTGTATCCCAGGACGTCCAAAACGTCACCTGCAAAACAAGAAAGAGAGAAGGAGAGTTACAGCACGGGAGGAAGGAACACGTCATATTCACTGAAGAACTATGTGGTGATTGGGGAAGACTGCCACCTAGGCACCAAGGACGGTACTGCAAGATTAAAAAAAAGAGGGGGGAAGATGCTGATTGTTTCTAGAGACTAGTAGCTAATTAATCTGTAATTATTTGTCTTAGATTCTTCCCTCCCAGGCTACCATGATGTGATATTGACTAACCACCTATGTGGTGATTGGGGAAGACTGCCACCTAGGCACCAAGGATGGTACGGCAAGATTTTTTAAAAAGAGGGGGGAAGATATTGATCGTTTCTAGAGACTACTAGCTAATTAATTTGTAATTATTTGGTTTAGATTCTTCCCTCCCAGGCCACCGTGATGCGATATTGACTGACAACCTATGTGGTGATTGGGGAAGACTGCCACCTAGGCACCAAGGAAGGTACTGCAAGATTTAAAAAAAGAAGGGGGAGGATATTGATCGTTTCTGGAGACTAGTAGCCAATTAATTTGTCAATATTTGGCTTAGATTCTTCCCTCCCAGATCACCACAATGCAATACTGACTGACGACCTATGCGGTGATTGGGGAAGACTGCCACCTACAGACTGAGGATGGTACTGCAAGATTTCAAAAAAGAGGGGGGAGGATATTGATAATTTTTGGAGACTATTAGCCAATTAATTTGTCAATATTTGGCTTTGATTCTTCCCTCCCAGGCCACCATGATACAATATTGACTGACGACCTATGTGGTGATTGGGGAAGACCTAGGCACCAAGGATGGTACTGCAAGATTTCAAAAAAGAGGGGGAAGATATTGATCGTTTCTAGAGCTTACTAGCTAATTAATTTGAAATTATTTGGCTTAGATTCCTCCCTCCCAGGGCACCACGATGCAATATTGACTGACGACCTATGCGGTGATTGGGGAAGACTGCCACCTAGAGACTGAGGATAATATTGCAGGATCCAGATACAAGGGAGAGCGATACTGTTCGGTTGCAATTGTTTGGCTTGGATCCTTCCCTCGGTGGCCAACCATGAGTTTGAAGATCTATGCGGTGTTTGGGGATGTCTAGAGACCGAAGGGTGGTACTGAAGACTCGAATCCTCACCGTAGCTGCGGCCATTCACAGAGCACTTGCTGAAGACCATGATGTTCTGGGTGAGGGTGCCGGTCTTGTCGGAGAAGATGTACTCCACTTGGCCCAGCTCCTCGTTCAAAGTGGTGGTCCGGGCCTCTGCCGGGGTGCATCGCTTCACGCAGTACATCTTCTTGTCCCAGTTGATGAAGTAGCTGTGGCCCAGTCGGATGACCTCCACGCTGCCCAGAAGGAGAGCAGGGAGGGTCAGGGCTCCACCATCACCTACAGCCCAGGACTTGCTCAACTACAACTCCCATCTACCAGGAGGGAGCTGCAGCCCAACTTGTCCGGAGGAGGGAGGGACTGAGCTAGGAAACGTCACCTAAATTTCCCAAAGTGCTCTGGAAAGCCCCCCAAATCACAAGAATGGTCACCCCAATTGAATCCAGAATGAGAAATAATAACTCTAGAATGGGAACTATGCAACTCCAGAATGGGAATGATATAACTCCAGAATGGGAAATAATAATAACTCCTGAATGGGAACTAAATAACTCCAGAATGGGAAATAATAACAACCTCAGAGTGGGAACTATGTAACTCCAGAATGTGAACTATGTAATTCCAGAATTGGAACTATGTAACTCAAGAATGGGGACTATATAACTCCAGAATGAGAAATAATAATAACAACTCCAGAATGAGAACTATATAACTCCAGAATGGGAAATAACAACAACTCTAGAGTGGGAACTATGTAACTCCAGAATGGGAAATAATAATACCTCCAAAATGGGAACTTTATGACTCCAGAATGAGAAATAATAATAACAACTCCAGAATAGCAACTATATAATTCCAGAATGGGAAATAATAACCACAGAGTTGAAACTATGTAACTCCAGAATGGGAAATATTAGTAACTCCAGAATGGGAAATATTAATAACTCCAGAATGGGAACTATATAATTTCAGAATGGAAACTATATAATTCCAGAACTCCAGAATGAGAACTACATAAGAATGGGAACTAATAATTACTTCAGAATGAGAACTATATAATTCTAGAATGGGAACTATGTAACTCCAGAATGGGAACTAATAATAACTCCAGAATGGGAACTAAATAACTCCAGAAAGACAACTATGTAACTCCAGAATGGGAACTAATAATAACTCCAGAATGGGAACTAAATAACTCCAGAAAGACAACTATGTAACTCTAGAATGCGAACTAATAATAACTCCAGAGTGGAAACTAAATAACTCCAGAATGGGAACTATGTAACTCCAGAATGCGGACTAGTAATAACTCCAGAGTGGAAACTAAATAACTTCGGAATGGGAACTAAATAACTCCAGAATGGGAACTAATAATAACTTCGGAGTGGAAACTAAATAATTCCAGAATGGGAACTAATAACAACTTCAGAGTGGAAACTAAATAACTCCAGAATGGGAACTAATAATAACTCCAGAATGGGAACTATGTAACTCCAGAACGGGAACTAATAATAACTCCAGAATGGGAAATATGTAACTCCAGAATGGGAACCAATAACAACTCCAGAAAGGGAACTACATAACTCCAGGAGGGGAGGACAAACTGGGGTGTGCCATGCTCTTACCTGGGGATTATTAGAGACAGAGAAAGGAGGATTTCATGCTGGAGAACCCAAAAGAAAAAGAGAAATTAAAAAGGGAAGGGAGAGGGAACAGAGGGGAGGGCGGAAGGCGCAGAAGATGGGGCAACGGGGGTCTAGATCACGGGAAAGGCAGGCAGAGAGGGTGAAGGGACATCTAGGCCATGGACTCCCATTGAGAGGCGGAAGAGAGGACGGAGAAAGATGACACAAGAATCGCACGAAACTACAAATCCCAGCACCCCATGGCTGTTCAAAGTGTTTGGCCACATGGGGCTCTTTGGAGGTGCTCCCTGACCCAGAGGGACCCTTTGGGCCTCGCCACCACCACCATCATCGGAGGGGTGCCCGCCAGGCGTTTGGCGCTACCTGACGTAGAGGGAGATGGGGACGACGGTGTTGAGGATGATGATGTAGGACCAGAAGGAGAGGAAGCCGGAGAAGACGGCGCTGTCGACGGCCGCGTCCCACGGGAGGAAGACCTGGAAGCAGGCGCCCACCTCGTGCTCCCAGATGGAGTTCCCGATGGCCAGGATCACCCCCATGCAGACCAGGAAGCCAAAGATCTGGAGGGATGGCACAGCGTGAAGGTGGGCACCCATCCATACATCCATCCATGGCCATTTGCGCACACCTTGGGTCACGAAATGACCGCCCCCCAGACCCGTACGGCCGATCTGTAGGACGGCGTCTCTCCCCCGAGGACTGTGGGGGAAAGGGGAAGGCGCCTACCCAGAGCACCAGCGTGTTCATCAGACGGTCGATGCTCGTGCGCTTGAACTTCGTGCGCCCGCTGTTCTGCATCAGCTTGGTGTCTGGCCCTGCGGGAAAGGAAGGAAGGAAGGAAGGAAGGAAGGAGGGAGGGAGGGAGGGAGGGAGGGAGGGAAGGAAGGAAGGAAGGAAGGAAGGAAGGAAGGAAGGAAGGAAGGAGCAATCAGACTGAAACACAAAGCAGTACTTTCTCTGTCCCTTGGGTAATGAACACACTTGGATAATTTAGGTCTCCGTGTGGCTTTTTTCCTACAACCCTCTAGTGACCACTTGGGGTAACAGCTGGGTCTTTCCCATGACCTTCTAGTGACCTCTTGGGGTAACAGCTGGGTCTTTCCCATGACCTTCTAGTGACCTCTTGGGGTAACAGCTGGGTCTTTCCTGTGACCTTCTAGTGACCTCTTGGGGTAACAGCTGAGTCCTTCCCATGATCCTCTAGTGACCTCTTGGGATAAAAGCTGGCTCTTTCCTGTGACCCAGAAGTGACCCAGCGCACTTCTCTCTCCTCTCCCAGAAGGCTGGAAGGGCTACTTCCTCCCTTCTCCGGCCCTGAGGAGGAAGGCCAACGCTTCCTGGGGCCCTTTCTTCCCTTCACCCCTTTCCCTCATAGGCTTCCTCCCTCTCTCGTCTTCCTCTCCCTTCACCTACAACAGACAATCCAATGACATCACAGATGGCCACTTCACCTAGCAACAGCTGGCCCTTCAACTAGCAACAGCCAACCTAGTGACATCACAGGTGGTCACTTCACCTAGCAACAGCCAACTCAGTGACATCACAGGTGGTCACTTCACCTAACAACAGCTGACTCTTCACCTAACAATCGCCAACCCAGAAACATCTCAGGGGTCCACTTCACCAACCCAGTAACTTCACAGATGGCCACTTCACCCAGCAACAGCTGACCCTTCCCCTAGCAACAGCAAACCCAGTGACATCACAGAGGGCAACTTCACCAACCCAGTAACATCACAGGTGGTCACTTCGCCTAGCAACAGCCAAACCGGGAACACGGCAGAGGGCCACTTCACCTAGCAGCAGCCTTTGTGGTACAAACATACATGCATTCTTTCCTTATTTCTCTCTCTCATATATAGGATTTGGAGCCACTTCCGGACATGTTGCAGGGCATCCTCCATCATGGCCCCTTATTAGAAAATGTGGAGGTGAGGGTCAGTATAAAAGTGGTACCATTAAGGCTTTAGCCAATGCACCTGGGGCCAGGATGCCCACTAATGAGCAACTGGACCTCCCTCCTGGGGGCCCAACCAGAGAAGCCCCCGCCACTCCCCACCTGCGAAGACCACCAGGCCAAAGCACCACTCGGTGTTGCGCAGGACGCAGCCGCGCAGCAGCATGTTCTGGTTGCTCAAGGCGTGCTTGCACTCCTTCCAGTAGAGCGTCCCTCCAAACTTGTCCAGCTTGTTGTTGGGCGGCTCGCAGACCACCTCCCCTGTGGGAGCAAAAAGGGACACCCGTCACGACCCCGTGGCCTCACAGCAAGGGGACACCCGTCACGGCCACCCGCTCACCGTCAAAGTGGGCCAGCCGGCTGGTGTCGCTCAGTTCCGATGTCACCGGGGTGGCCTGGCGCACCTTCATGTTTGTCTCCCTGCAGAAAGAAAAACCTGACTGAGCCTTAGCAAGGGAAATGTCTACCGGCTGTTAGGAATTGTGGGAGTTGAAGTCCAAAACATCTGGAGGGAAGGTCAAAGTTGGCCCATGTCTGATCTAGATCAAGACACTTGCAATTGCAGAGCCAGAGCATGCAAGAAAGACAGACTCGCTTTTCCCAGAGGCTTAGAGATAAGGGGAGGAGAAGCAGGTGTGTGGGAAATGATGTTATGGGAGGGAAGGAGGCCTTTTAAAGTGGTTCCTGCTTAGAGGTAATGAGAGGAGAAGCAGGTGTGTGGGAAATGATGTTATGGGAGGGAAGGAGGCCTTTTAAAGTGGGTCCTGCTTAGAGGTAATGAGAGGAGAAGCAGGTGTGTGGGAAATGATGTTATGGGAGGGATGGAGGCCTTTTAAAGTGGTTCCTGCTTAGAGGTAATGAGAGGAGAAGCAGGTGTGTGGGAAATGATGTTATGGGAGGGATGGAGGCCTTTTAAAGTGGTTCCTGCTGGTACAATTCTTGTGAGAGCAATGTTGCATTCAGGTGAACCGCTCTCGGTTTTTGGAATTCATATATTCAAGTTTCGAAGTGTGTTCTTGCTTCTAGTTCGTGTGTGACAAAGGTCACCAGCCTTGGATTCACGGTCTCTTGTTATTTAATGTACTTATGGATTGATTCTGCAAATTGTATTCGAAAGGATTTTGGAAAATTATTATTATTATTATTATTATTATTATTATTATTACTATTATTATTATTTTACTATAGAGAAACACTACAACAGAACTAAACTTAATGCTGCCTGACCCCACTTGGACTACTCGCGGCTCAAGGCGATGGAATCCTGGGACTTGTAGTTTAGTGAGGTCCCAATCCCTCTTTGGCAGGGAAGGTTACAGACCTCGTGAAACTACTACTCCCAATAATAATAATAATAATAATAATTATTATTATTTTACTGTAGAGAAACACTACAACAGAACTAAACGTAATGCCACCTGCACCCACTTGACTGCCCTTGGCTCACGGCGAGGGAATCCTGGGACTTGTAGTTTAGTGAGGTCCCAATCCCTCTTTGGCAGGGAAGGTTACAGACCTCGTGAAACTACTACTCCCAATTGTAGGAGCGATGACATTATTATGTCCCCTATACAGGAAAGAAACCATTGTGTCCCCAGGTGCAGGAATGGCTGTATACCACTAGAGGGATTGGCACGCCATACCTCCAAGTGAACATAGCGATTCCAGTCCTCTGACACTAGTGCTCCACCATTTTGGCCAAGTATACAGGACATCATGACATAGGACTAAAGACAGGCCATACTCCCCAGATACATACACTGTTCCTACCCCACTGACCATATATGGACATTACCCTTGAAGACAGGAAGGATGACATCGCCTRTAGCTGACCTCACCTGTAGRTTACCTCACCCTTAAGAGTCYAACCAATCACTTGGCAATTATGTAATCCYCCACTGTTGCTATGCAGACTTTGCTGAAGAGCACMAAAACCTATATAAGCTTTGCTTAGACAACAATAAAAGGTCATCATCATCATTCACTTCTACACCCTGCCTCCCGTCTGGTTATTCTCGCGTTCCCGACATCTGGTGACCCCGACGTGATAAGATCCAGGCATCCCATGCTTACCGCTGGAATAGCTACAAGGTGCGCACCTTCTTCAGTGAGTTTTCTCACTCCCACAAATCGTAAGTTATGGGATTAAGTATGTCAGTTCCGCAGTTGAGGCATATACAAGAACTGTACAAGTTGTTAAGACAGGCAGGGTATTTTGAAGTAAATCAGGGCCAGGTAGAAGATTTACTTAGAGAAATCAGGTATCATTGTTTATGGTATCCGGAAGGAGGTTCATTGATCCCAGCAGATTGGATCAGAATTGGTCAAACCTTTTATGAGAAACCCCAGGGGACAATTCAACAATTATTGCTGTGGAAGCAATGTTGTGAAACAATCACTCTCCTAGGAGTGACAGATAATTGCCCACCCGTGGCTCCGGCCGCGAGTCAGCCTCTTCCAACTCAGATCATAAATCCTCTTTTTACCCCGCTTGAGACGGGATTACAGCCAGCCCTCCCTATCTTGCCTTCATGTGTCTTTGCTTTTAAATCATCCACCGCCGATCCAAATCTCCCCTCCTCTTCTCTTAAAAATAAACAGCCCCAGCCACTGAGAGACATGATTCCTCAGACCATTCAAAATGCTGAGGACCGAGAAAACATAACCACAACCCTTCTTGACATGGCAGGATTCGAAGAAGCTATATCCTCGACTGAACACATTCAAAACACAACAGCCATGATTCCAGATCTAATTTATGGCTCCGGCACATTCACTAAGACAGCTGGCCAACCAGAGCTCCCAAAAATGACATTTGATCCTGTTTTTCCATACACTCAGTGGGCTCCCGAAATCCAAACACTTAAACAGCCTGACATTGATCAAAAAATAATCATCCATATCATCATTTGCTGCCCAGATTCAGAATCTGAAAAATCATGTGCCTCTACAGAGGGTGTCACATAAATAAACAGTGCCTATACCACGTCTGGATAGACCTCTGTTAGGTCTCAGATTCCTCCCTTTTCCTAATACATCATTGGTGAGACAGTTTAACAACCCCTCTCTTCAAAAGATAACATTAAAACATTTCCATTCAACAAAGACATAAAGCTCCTGTGATAAATATGGTTAAAAATGCCCTCTGATAAACTTATAGTGTCATTAAATAAACATTTGTTACAAAATGGTTTTCAGAATAAACTTCTGTTCAATCAAAAATTCCAGGGTCATATATACATACACAACATACAATCAAAGATCAATATAAAGTCCTCATTTAAGATATGATAAAAACCACGATACAACATCTAAATAGTGATCTCCCAACCTTTTTCATGCTACAATTCTTTTAGACAGTTCTTTATGTTATATTGACCCTCAACTAAAAAATTGTTTAAGATTGTTTTCATTTTGCTATTATTGTTTCATAGTTATAATTTTACTCGTTGTTATTACTATTTCATAGCCATAAGTTTACTACTGTCATAAATTGTGATATACATGTCTGATATGATTTTCTAAAATTGATTTTCATTTTCTTGATCTAATCTGATACACATACCCATACATAACAATTTAAATACTGATAGAGTTGGTGTTGATTTCACAATCAAGACTTATAATTCCTGAGATTCATAGTTCACAAACATAACACATTCTAAACTCCACCAACAATAAAACTAAACCAAACTTGACACACAAAACTTTTTATCCCTTTCATTTTAAAGGGTCAATTATATATAAGACTCAAATTACACTACATTCAACTCATACAATCTTAAATATTAATCACACCTAAACAATTACATGCTTGGTTTCCATACCTTTCATCTGATACTTACAGATGAATCAGCTTCACAAAAACACACTTCTTACAAAACATTAGTTGACAAAACATGCTTACATGATAACATATCTTGCTATGTTGTTAATCATACGACACTTTAGACATTCATTTTAAAATTGAGTTTATTAAATCTACAAATCATAGCTTTGTTTAATGTTCTTCTTCCTTTCCTAAGAGACCACACTTTCCCCTCCCTTCCATATCAAACACAGCATGCTAAAATCAACACTCACTTCTTAAAAACAGACACACAAAATCACGCCTGTTCGTTACCCACATCTCAGCCAAAGGTTTAAAACACCTACTTCATAAAACAGATACTCAAAACCACACATTTATTGCTTTATTCACACATCATATCTACCTTACACACTAAAATCCATTAGAGTCTCTCCCCTTTCCGAGCCGACAGACACGCTGCCCAAATCGGGGGGGCCGGACATTCCACAAGCCATCCCAGGAGCGGCCAGGCTTTAAGATCTAAACACACACACACACACACACACACCAATGCCTCCTCCCTTTCTTTTATCTTTTAAAATGACTTTTTGATTCATGATTGTCTACCTTTTGATTTATGCTTGATTATATTATAAGATGTTTTAAATGTGCTTTCATTCTGCTGTTATCCTGATATACTTAAAAACTACAATTCCCTTCCTCACACACCGATATCCATTCTATACTATGCTGATCAAAGACCATAATAAATCATTATTTGATTAATGACTATCTAAATGCTTACTCTACAACACAACACAACCCTATGAAAATCATGCCTTTTCATCCTCATACTACAAAACCTATTATCCATTTTTCATTACACAATCACTAAAATCCTTCAACAGATTTACTGTTGCTCATTGTCTCACTCATCCACATATATTTCAATTACTACCTAAACCTCAAAGGGTTTAGAGCTGATTTTTTCCTTTTATGACTCTATACCAGTTCCAAAGACTTTAAAATCATACCATCCCAATGCTAGGGGTTAAACATGGCTTCCCATTATTGACCTGGGTTTAACACACTCAGTTTTCTTAAGATGTTCAGTTAATCTGATCTCTTCATCACGGACAGTTTTGGTTCTGTCCCCAAGCCATCCCTACGCATCTCACTCATGACAAACTTACAGACTATCTACATACAATCAACAGGTGTTTCATAAACACCCCATCCTACATAAAATATCACAGCTAATTAACTCCTAACTACAACAGTCATTTCAACTACAACCACTTACACTCTTTACCTCATTTTCCTCACTGATTTTCATAACAAAAAATAAGAGACATGACATTCTATAACCAATAAATCTCTTCTCAACCATTTTTTTTTTTACATACCTTTACATTCATAAACATCTTTGCTACAACATACCTTATATTACAATGCTAAGTTCACGATATTCTGCCCACATCTTTAACATTCCATATAATAGCCACACCAAATGCGACTGCTGACCGTTCAAATCATACCTCTACAAACCATCTGCTTCTTCTCACACACAAACAAAAAAGGGGGAGTCAGCCCCCTGGTCTTGTTGCCTGCTCCTTTCGCTTTCCAATGGCCTTCCTATATGTGTTATTTACCATTAATCATTTGAATTTAATTTTATCTGATTCTTCTTTCGTTACCAGGATCCAGAAGCATTTCCCTCTCCCTACCCCCTTCTACTCCCTTAATGCAGGTTGCCAGATCCAGAGTGAAAAGGCCCAGCTCCCCTCATCGCAAAGATACTGCTGTGACGGGTCGATTTGAGTTAAAGTCATAGAGTCAAGGAGTTAAAAGAGACCTCATGGGCCATCCAGTCCAACCCCCTACCAAGAATCAAGAATTCCTGCTTCAACTGTCATAAACCTATGAACTTTAACAAACACAACTTGCTTTTTGACAACATTGTTTAATCACACATTCTCTGTCATTGGCTTCTTAAATCAAGTGCTTTGAGTTCCTGCTTGCTACATTTACCCATAAAAAATGACGTGACACCAAGGCCTCCAAAATCCCATTCACCCTCCAGTCAATTCTATGTGTTGTTTCAAATCTCAACAATATATTTGTGCATGTTGTTTTTTAATGACTTAGCTTAACATTTTAAACAAAACACTGTACCTGCTTGATAAAACTTTTATTATCTAATTTGTTTACTCTACACAGCTATTGATGGCCTATATAATAATCTGCTACTGCTACATTTGATATATATCCCATTGTTATAAGCTTCTTGCTAGCCTCACGCTCTGCTGACCTTTCCCCCTCACCTCAAAGTGATATCCTAATATATGACCTGACTTCCTGTCGACTACAAAAAACAGCTCAAATTGCTTTACTATTGTCTGGCTGTTTAATCATATGCTGCTGCTACATTCAATACATCCCATCCCTATGGCAGCTTTACCAGCCACGGCCCCTACAAGCCTCTCCTAGACATGATGTCCTTTATACGTACAAATTGTTAAAACAAACAAAAAAGGGAGAGATGTAGGAGCGATGACATTATTATGTCCCCTATACAGGAAAGAAACCATTGTGTCCCCAGGTGCAGGAATGGCTGTATACCACTAGAGGGATTGGCACGCCATACCTCCAAGTGAACATAGCGATTCCAGTCCTCTGACACTAGTGCTCCACCATTTTGGCCAAGTATACAGGACATCATGACATAGGACTAAAGACAGGCCATACTCCCCAGATACATACACTGTTCCTACCCCACTGACCATATATGGACATTACCCTTGAAGACAGGAAGGATGACATCGCCTATAGCTGACCTCACCTGTAGATTACCTCACCCTTAAGAGTCCAACCAATCACTTGGCAATTATGTAATCCCCCACTGTTGCTATGCAGACTTTGCTGAAGAGCACCAAAACCTATATAAGCTTTGCTTAGACAACAATAAAAGGTCATCATCATCATTCACTTCTACACCCTGCCTCCCGTCTGGTTATTCTCGCGTTCCCGACACCCAATAATAATAATAATAATAATAATAATAATAATAATAATAATAATTTTACTGTACAGAAACACTACAACAGAAGTAAACGTAATGCCACCTGCACCCACTTGGACTGCTTGTGGCTCGAGACGATGGAATCCTGGGAGTTGTAGTTTAGCAAGGCCCCAATCCCTCTTTGGCAGGGAAGGTTACAGACCTCGTGAAACTATTACTCCCAATAATAATAATAATTATTATTATATTACTGTAGAGAAACATTACAACAGAACTAAACTTAATGCTGCCTGACCCCACTTGGACTGCTCGCAGCTCAAGGTGATGGAATCCTGGGATTTGTAGTTTAGCGAGCCCCCAATCCCTCTTTGGCAGGGAAGGCTGCAGACCTTGTGAAACTACTACTCCCAGGATTCCATAGCATTAGAGTGATGCCAAACTGAATGAACCCTACAGTATAGATGCGCCCCGAGGTTTCCGTGCAAGGTTCAGCTTCAAAATCTGGTGCAGGAAAGCAAAATGAGTGTCATACTAGGAGACTCACGGCCCATCTACACCGCGATATAATCCAGTTTGAAACTGCATCATATTGCAGTGTAGAAAGGCCAGCCTTGGAGGCAGAAGTGGATGGAGTACTGACCCGTCCAGTTCGGAGGTCTCGATGTAGCAGAGCCCGTGGGGTTCGCTGCTGGAGAGGAGGAGCAGGTCGGCCTAAGAGGGGAAGGAATACACAGGGAGCCTCATGAGGACTAGAGCCTTTTGGGGAAAGCAAAGCAGCCAGCGTCCCTCTGCCTCTGCCCGGACTCACGGCCACAAACTGGTTGTTCTCCAACTTGATGATGTCCCCGACTCGGACGTTCATCCACTGCTCCTGCTGGAGGCTGCAGAGGGAATGGAGGCAGGCCAGATATAATACTTGGAAGAGACCCCCAAAGGCCATCCAGACCAACCCCATCCCGCCATTGAGACACCATCCAAGCCTTCCTGACAGATGACCACTGGATCACAAGAGTTGGAAGGGACCCCTAAAAGCCATCCAAGGAAGGAAGATACGATCCAAGCTTTCTCAATTGTTGTTGTTGTTGTTGTTGTCTTTATTTAGATGGTCACAGAACCTTGGAAGGGACCCCCAAAGGGCATCCAGACCAACCCCATTCTGCCATGAAGGACGGCACCATCCAAGCCTTCCTGAATATTATTGTTGTTGTTGTTGTCTTTATTTAAATGGCCACAGAATATTGGAAGGAACCCTCAAAGGTCATCCAGACCAACCCCATTCCATCATGAAGGCACCATCCAAGCCTTCACAATTGTTGTTGTTGTCTTTATTTAGATAGCCACAGAACATTGGAAGGGACCCCCAAAGGCCATCCAGACCAATCCCATCCCATCATGAAGGCACCATCCAAGCCTTCACAATTGTTGTTGTTGTCTTTATTTAAATGGCCACAGAACATTGGAAGGGACCCCCAAAGGCCATCCAGACCAATCCCATTCCACCATTCTTATTTTGTGCTGGACAGTGCCCATAATAAAGTTTATTATTATTATTATTATTATTATTATTATTATTATCATCATCATCATCATCATTTTGTATTTATTATTATCATTATTATAATAATTATTATAATTATTATATTATATTATTATTATCCCTTCGGGATGAGAAGGGCGGCATATAAATGTCATAAATAAATAAATATTATTGTTATCATTATATGGATGGCCACAGAATCTTGGAAGGAACCCCCAAAGGTCATCCAGACCAACCCCTTTCCACCATGAAGGAGAGCACCATCCAAGCTTTCGCAGACCCACAAGAGTTCAAAGAGACCCCCCAAGGCCATCTAGTCCAACCCCATTCCGCCACTGGGACACCACCCAAGCCTTCCAGACAGATGGCCACAGAATCACAGGGTCGAAAGGGAACCCCAAAGGCCATCCAGTCCAACCCTCTCCTATCACTCAAAACCCGCAACCCATACTCACATCCCATTGATCAGCACTTGCGATTGGCGGTTGTTCACCTGGTTGTCGCTCTTGTGGCGAAACTGCGGGAAAGAGGAGATCTACACTGTGGATTTAATACGGTTTGATACCGCTTTAGCTGCCATGCTAGGGAATCCCAGGAAGTTGTAGTTTCCCCAAACGACAATTCTCAGGGTGTGTTGCCATGGCTCCATGGGATGGAGGTATGGGTGGAGTCCTGGGAATTGTAGTTTGGCGAGGGCTCTCGTCCTCAAGGACTTGAGGAAACTACAACTCCCGGAGCCGACCCTCAACTGAGCCCGGGGCCCCTTGGCAGCCCCTCCCCCCCGGAAAGGCTGCTCACGTAGTCGTCGGTGGCGTCCTTGACCGCCGTGATGGTCAGAACGAGGACCAAAGGCACAATGGTGGTGAACCAGGAGAGGGAGGAGATCTGCGGAATCAGCTGGGAGGGAGGGAGACACAGGAGGCGGGTCAGTGGCCGCAGGTAAGTCACAACAGGTGAGCAAAGGGGGGCGGGTGGGCGGGCGAGCACGGGCAGGGGAGTTGCAAGAGGAAAGCAAAGGCAAGTGACGTACAGCAGGTGAGTCAAGGCAGGGAAATCAGGCAGGTAAACACAAGCAGGCAAAAGATGGCAGGAAAGTGACAGCAGGTGAGTGCAGGCAGGTATGCTATGGAAGGCAAGTGATGGCAGGTGAGTGTGGGTAGGGAAGCAATGGCTTGTAAGCAATGGCAGGTGAATGCAGACAGGTATACGATGGAAAGTACACAATGGAAGGCAAGTAATGACAGGTGAGTGTGGGCAGGTAAGCAATGGCTGGTGAATGCAGACAGGTATGCGATGGAAAATACGTGATGGAACGCAAGTGATGACAGGTGAGAGTGGGCAGGTAAGCAATGTCAGGTAAGCTATGGCAGGTGAATGCAGGCAGGTGTGCTATGGAAGGCAAGTGGTGGCAGGTGAATATAGGCAAGTAAGTTGCAATAGGTAAGTGATAGCAGGTGAGTGTAGGCAGGGAAGCGATGGAAGGTAAGTGATGGCAGGTGAGTGTGGACTGGTATAAACAATTGCAGGTAAGCAATGGCAGGTGAATGCCGGCAGGTAAGTGGTGGAAGGTAAGTGATGGCAGGTTTAGTGCAGGCAAGGAAGTTGCAATAGGTAAGTGATGCAGGTAAGTGCAGGCAGGGAAGCATTGGCAGGGAAATGCAGGCAGGCATGAGATGGCAGGTAAATGGCAGCAGGTTAAAGCAGACAGGTAAGTGATTGAGGACAAGTGATGGGAGGTAAGTGTGGGCTGCTAAGCTATGGCAGGTGAATGCAGGCAGGTATGCTATGGAAACATGATGGAAGGCAAGTGATGGCAGGTGAGTGTGGTCAGGTAAGCAATTACAGGTAATTGATGTCAGGTAGACTATGGCAGGTGAAGTTGCAATAGGTTAGAGATGGCAAGTGACTACTTGTAGGTAAGAGATGGCAGGTGAGTGTAGGCAGGAAGGCATCAGTAGGTAATTCAGGCAGGTAAACACAAGCGAGCAAGAGATGGCAGGTAAGTGACAGCAGACAAGAAATGCAGCAGCAGGTGAATGCAGGCAAGTAAGCTATGGAAGGTAAGTGAAGGAAAACAAATGATGTCAGGTGAGTGTGGGCAGGTAAACAATGGCAGGTGGATGCAGGCAAGGAAGTTGCAATAGGTCAGTGATGGCAGAGAGTGCAGGCAGGTAATTGGTGACAAGTAAGCTGTGGCAGGTGAATGCAGGCAGGTAAGTGATGGTGGGTTTAGTGCAGGCAAGTAAATTGCAATGGGTAAGAGATGGCAGGTAAGTGCAGGTGGGCAAGAGATGGCAGGTAAGTGACAGCAGGTAAGTGCAGATAGGTAAGGGATGGAGGACAAGTGATGGTAGGCAAGTGTGGGCAGGTAAGCAATGACAGGTGAGTACAGCAGGTAAGTCACAACAGGTGAGTGATGGCAAATATGTGAAGGTAAGAGTGTGTGGGCAAGGAAGTGACAGATGGGAAGAGCAGGTGAATGCAAGCAGGTAAGCAACAGAAGGCAACCTGTGCCAGGTGAGTTTGGACAGGTGAATGAGTGCAGGTAAGTAACCCCCAACAGGTGAGTGCAGGCAGGTAAGTGACGGCAAGTGAGCAAAGGCAGGGAAGTGCCGACATTTTGGCAGCGTCCGATCCTGATCCCAGGCACGGTTTCGCAAGGCAGGTGAGCGGAGGAAGCCCAACTCACCTGGAGGATGAGGAGGAAGAGGAAGTAAGTGTTGGCCACTTCCTGGAACTGCTCAAAGAGGTTGATGGGCAGGAAGGTGACCACGTTGTACTTGGAGGTCTTGATGCAGTTGCTCTGGAAAGAGAGAGAGAAGAGAGAAAACAGCATTGAGTCACACAGGCATCCAAACTGCATTAGCTCTACAGTGTAGATGCACCCAAGACATGAAACTGATTCGGTCTGTGAATGATCACCAAGCTGGCTTCGGTTGTGTGTTGGGGTGAGACTAGATGGCCCTTGGGCGCCCCTTCCAGGTCAAGGTTGCAATGCCTTTCCTTCTCTGGAGGCTTCCAAGCAGAGGCTGGATGAGCATCTGCTGGGAGGGATCGGATGGTGCCTTCCTTTATGGCAAAAGGAGGTTGGACTGGATGGTGCAGGTCCCAATCCAAACACGGCCACAAAGGCAAGAGAAGGGCCGAGATGGCGGAAGCCTGTTGCGTCAGCGGCCTCGGCGCCTGGGGCTCCTCCCGTCTCCAGGTCTATTTTTAGTGGACAGGAAGGGATGGCCAGACCATAATAACACCGGGGAAGGGAGGGGGCACAGCAGAGCCAGGCCCACAGCGTTTCCTCTCCAAAAAACAACACAACACACACAACCCAGAAACAATGTGGGACCCCTCAGTCCCACCTCAAAGGTCTCCCCAGTTGGAGCCTTCAACAGGGAGACAAAACATTCATATTTGAGGTCTGTATCTGTGTCTCTACCTGTCTGTAGGTCCGTCCGTCCGTCCGTCCGTCCATCCATGAATCCATCCATTCTCTCATCTATCTATCTATCTATCTATCTATCTATCTATCTATCTATCTATCTATCCCTCTATCTATCTATCTATCT